ACGAATATAGGAAAACAGGCGCGACGATAACTAGGCTTAACGATGATTGCGAGATGGTTAAAGACGAAAGTCATTTTGTTTCTTTCAGGTTTATCGTTGTTAGGCGAGTATTTTTTTTGATGGGGTTGTTATACATGATGCGAAGTATCACGATGTTCGTGACGGTACTACCGGTAGCCAGTAAGACGTACTTCTGCAGCCCTAAAGCGAACAACACTAGTCCGCTTCTCGTTACGAAGAGGGTCTTGCAGCTAATCTCTGGCTTCGGCTTGTCTATAAACGGCAAGCACACTTACTGCGGGGATTACATTTACAGCGGTCACACAGTTGTGCTTGTACTTAGTTACCTGATTATCAAGGAGTGTACGTATTTTTCTGGACAAATGTCTCTTATGACATTGAGAAATGCGTTCTATAAGATATACAGAAGGAGATTAATGGAAAATTTGTGAAAATTTAGATTCCCCGAGGAGATGTCAACCAATCCATTGGGTGGCAGGAATTGCGGTTCTTGTTGGGGTAATTATGGTCTTAGTGGCTCATGGACACTATACGGTGGACGTTCTCATAGCATACTACGTAACCACAAATTTATGGTACATTTATCATACGCTAGCCAATAACGCGCATCTTAAGGTAAGTTTGATTTTTCTGTACAGAAATTGAAGGGAACGGATCGTATTACGTGTATTGACGGAAAAATTTATTTACAGCAATACGAACCAAACAACTTTATGACCCGGTTCTGGTGGTTTTTTATTTTTAAATATTTCGAGAAAAATGTGGGCGGCACAGTGCCACGACAATACGACTGGCCTTTACCCTGGCCTCGACGATTCCTTGCCAAGCACCCCAATCGGGACAGTTAATGTCTGTCTTAATCTCACGATGGAGGCTGTCAAACAACGGAGTTACTTTTGTTGTATTTGTATATATATAAACATATATGTATACGTAATAGGCTTACAATGTGGAGATAAAGCTTTACTAGAAAGTGGTGCGAGAGATGTGCGTAAGCTTTCGTCAAACTTTTGTCTCGGGACATGACGAAGGTTTCTGTAGTGTTCACTTACTTGAAACTACACAACACGAACGATAAGCGAAACAAAAGGGATGCTTGTACCGTCATGTTCGTTATCGTCCAATCGCGAAACCTATTTTTCCTTGATTTTGATACGACTTATACATAATGTAAGGGATAGATAACGATAGACCGAAAATTAGTCCTCACGAAGAATTCACTTAGAGGGAGGTGTCCGAGAGTTACCGAACAGAGTAGTGTATAAAATAAATGATAGATATCTCTATTTTCAGATACTCCGAATGCGAAATACTTAGGATATAAATTTACCGTTGTACCGCAACACGGTCATGCGTGCGAAAACAGTCGGAAACTGTCATTGTTAACGGTAGAATTAACGCAAGAGACGAATTTTTTTGTAGCTCTCGTTTCAAACAACGACACGAATGAAAAATTCGAAGCGTTGCTGCGCGTTCAAAACGCGCGGCTTTGTTTGCCGCGTAACCTTCCTGTGGCTAATCTTTTGAAACGCGTTCTAATATTAATCGACTTCCAAATACCAAGACGACGCGTTTATACTTAATGCAACGGCGCCACGCCTTATTCCGATGAAAGTCAATCGAATTAATTGAATCACGATACTTGTATTCGAATTGGTCAATTAACGTTCGTTTCCGTTCTTCGTAGCCCGCGTCTCGTATATTCCCCTCGAAATTGATATTCTCGTGCGCGCAGAAACATTAGAAGAATTGGCTCGCATAGCTTGAAAGCAATCGTGCAATTTCGTGGGACCAAAATAGAACAGTTGGAAACGTAGCAGCGATTGAAAGTAATTGTTTTCAACGAATAAAAGATTAATTCACAGTGGCAATAGGCGCTGATATCGAGTCTCCCAGAACATGAGCGGTCAATGAAAGGTTTCAGATATTAATGTTCTCAATCTAGCTTGTAGACAATGGTATTTCAAAGTTCTCGTCGATACTTTACTGTGTTCTCTTCAAGGTTTGCGTAAGAAATCTTATCTACCGCGACGCATTTTCGCGTTTTTCACTTTCAACCGACCTATGTGATAAGAAGCGCGAATATTATAGGTTCACTTTGTGAAATTCGTGATTCCTCGGAATAAGGTCGGCTTTACGCTCTATACATACACCAGATGTTGTCATGCGTACACGAAGACGGAGTTGCGAATCGTGCGAAGAACGTTACGACGTGACATTAACACCGTGACCCCAGCGCTATATAACCTCTCCACTAGCTCACCTCGACGGTGGTTTTTGTAAGGCTTTGTAAAGGAATTTCATCTCTGCCAATCTTTTTAGATAGAAGACGCGAATAATCAAAATTTAATGGGGAATAAATTGTAAATTGTACAGCGATAAATTCAGGCGTATAAGGCGTGTGTTTTTCATATAATAAAATAGCGAACGTAACATTAATACAAACGTAGTTTGAGTGATTTCAATGCGTTGTAAACGTACGAAATGCGAAAGCGCAGCAAGGTGTTATTTGATCTCTGATTCTTCGCATGGTTTTTTCTTCCGCCGATCTTCTATCGTCTCGCCATGTCGCAACAATAATTTCTTGCGATTCTTGCCTCACTCTGACATAAGAGCGTTCCTCATCAGTTTCATCGTCATTTATCTTTGTGCTACTAGCACAAACGCTTGGAGGTTTTGCGTTGAACCGTACAAGGCCACGCAAAGATTGTTCAGTGAATCTCAGTTTCTCTTGACCGAAAGATGGCGAAACATAGGACGTCGAAAACGGTCGAGAAAGCGTTTAACGATTACTTGTAAACTCTGTGCATAGTTTAAGCGATGTTGCCGGCGATTTGTTGTCATCTGCACGCACGATTTATTATTGTTAACGCTCGTGCAGAACCCTCGTTACGCGTCGTGCGAGTTATCTGTGTCTTTGATAGAGCCGCCCTATTCTCGGCATCTCTGTCGACGTTACCGTAAATAAAAGAGTTGAGATTTCCGGAAGGAACGTGTCAGTGGTCCTGTTTCGCGCTTCAGAATTCCTCTTTCGACCCGCGGTCGAACGAATTTGACGGTTTGAATGACGAGAGGAAGAGATAGAGAGACCTTTGCGTCATAGAAGAGCAGCCCTGTGAAAAGAATCAAGGTTCGCGTTACATTGTAATTAAATCATTTTCCGTCTGTGATGTTTAGAAAAGTCATCGCGCGACGCAAACCAAAAGAAACGACCGCGAAACGATTCGTACTGATGCGCTCGAATCACGGCCACTGATATTTCTTCTTAACCCTCTATGGACCATTTTCTCTGTTGAAAATAACGTGAACATAAAATGTAATTTTTTCAAGTTGTAACGAATTTTATAAATTCCTCGAAAGTTCCGAAGAAAACGTCTTCGAAAGATGATCTCAGTTTGATCGAAATCACCTGACTTTTTAACCCCTAGACGACTAAAAGTTACAGTAAGGTATTTCTGAGCATAACTACACGGAATTTTAATTATAATAAAGACAAATTATTATCTCATAGGATCTTAATATTTAAGAAGAAACATAAACAAAGTAATCATTTATCGATGTATGGAATGGTTTTAAATGTTCTACATATAATGGAATATCGTTGCTTGTACGAATATTATTCCCGTCTTTGCTTATGTTTGAAATACGCAAAACGTGAATATTACGAGATAGAATAGTTTTCTCACTATCGCTAGAAATCATACTATCATCATAGCATTTTGTACGCGTAAACGACCGTTCGATGAATTTCCTCTTGTGTCGACAAGGACAACGAACAAAGAACAAACGCATCTGATTGAATAACAGTTGCTAAATAACCAGTACAATTTAACGTAATCGAATATCTCATATATTATATTAATATCGGCCGATAATCTGCATGGCGTACCAATACGCTTACGGTGGTGGCGGTGGTCAGTTCGAATTCGTGGAAAGTGTATTGGTACGTTTACGATCGTCTAGGGGTTAAAACTGAAAGCCCTGTTTTCGCGCTGTAGTGTTCGACTATCCCCACCACTTTGTTTCCCACGTCTTTGCAGAAATATCGGGCTCGAAATCTTGATTTACAATTAGCGAGAGTGGCCGTTTGCGATAAATTGAGTTCGGCCCGACTCTTTACCTTTTTAAATTGTCCCAGCGACTAAAGTGAAACAGCGAAACGACGTACCACGTAGTAAACACACTTGTTCACTGGACTGTAGGGGGTTGGCACACTCATCGTTGCGTGTATCGAATATATTTTAATAAGATTAAATGTGGTTCGTAGCGATTCTTACGTAACGCAGCATTCGACTCGCGCGAAGCGGATCGTTCAAATATATTTTTCAATGTGCGTGTTATAGAGACCATGTAGCGCGTATTGTCGTTGTTCGGAGACGAAACGCAAACGCGATCGATCGATCACACGCGCGATCGCTTATCTGTATTTGCAATGTATGTTATTTGTTGTTCCTTTTGGGCGGACACGTTTTGGAAAGAAAGAAGAGAGCGATGTCGGCCCAACGTTCGGGAACAGCGACCGCCATGATCTGCCAGAGAGAGATATTTATAAAAGCGCGGTGAACTCGAGCCAAAAAAAAAAAGAAGAAAAAAAACAACCGTGCTACTATCTATTCCCGCGAACATTACCTACACGCACACGACGAAGGGAGAATACGCTTCTTCCATCAACGGAAGGGCCTCGTTTATCTTTATCATACCGAGAGACGGAAGGGTAGAAAAAAGTATCATTGTATTAAAAGAGAAGTTGTGAAAAAAAAGGAGGAAGGGCGTAAAAGCCCGCGAACACATGCACGCACGTATGCGACGTGTCGTGTATGTGTGTTTATATGTATATACGTATATATATATCTATATTTTTACGTGTAGATATTTTTTGGTAACTTGTTACGATAATTCTATTAGACCAGTTAAGTATATACATGCATATATATGTATATACATATATACATATATATATATATTTATATATATATATATATTTATATATATATTTATATATATATATAAAACTATAATAATACATGTTGTAAATACAAGAATAGCTGAAGAGAGCTTTGCGTCACGCGCGAATCCTCGTCAAACCGAGTCGAGAAGATGTCAGATGTAGGTTTGCTCGACGATTCGCGAAATGTGTTTTCTTCTGTGCCTGTATACAATTTTTATTGCCCTCGCATCGACTGGTCCGACGCTCGTGCAACTTGGTTTCCGTTCTTTTATCTTTTTTCTTTTGATACAACGTGTATTAGCAACCGAGTTCTTGCGATAATTTACCAGAGGTGTCGACGTTTGGAATCGCACACCCTTTACGACGACAATGTCAAATTGTATTCGAATTTTATTTGATACTTTCTGTATTTATAATATTTATTACGTTTTTCTTTTTTTCTCTTTTTCGTACGTTGATCTAATAAAGTTTCGAGCGATACTCTCGCAACAGCCGGTTTTGCATCTCCGACGGCGAGGTTGCGCCGAACATTTACTACTCTCGTGTAAATTTATGTACAATAACCCAATGAACGCATTGATCCCCTCACTTTTCTCGAGATCTAGTAAAAAAAAATGAGTACAGTTCAAGATCTGTTGTCTGTTGTCCATTACCCGTTTTACTCGATGCGATTGTAGCGGTACATCGAATCGGTGCCTTCCAATCTCTTCAGCGACGCACACCACCGTTCGGTATCCTCGATTGCAAGTTCTCGTCTGTAATGCGCTTAAATATTTTTCTATCATGTGTGCCGTGCAATCTAATTGTAAAGTTCGAGTCGTTCGTCAGGTAAGTCGCATACATGATTTTATACTAACACGGATTCTACTGTTTCGTTATTTCAAACATAAACTATTCTCGATATGTCAGACGACTGACACTTGTAATAAAATATAAGACAATAAACGTTCACGTGTTCTTTCTATTTCCCGTCAATCGAACATTTTAATACCGTTAATTGTACGGGATAAAAAATAATACTTCAACAATTATTCTAATCCTAGCTAATAATAATTATGAACAGAAGGATGCCGATCGATCAGTATATCGAAATTAGTTTCGATTGTTATTTCATTTTTAGTCGGCATTTACCGTGACAACGACAACGTCATTTCACCGATACAAAGAGGAAAATTCACAAGTAGACCAACCTTAAAATTTCTAAATTCACCGTGGATTACCAAATTCAAAAACGATGCCTCGAAACTAATATTAAACTTCGCGATACGTACTTAGTAGGGTAAGTATCTTGTATTATCATTAAATTGAAAGAGAAAAGAATTATGTACGACCGCGTGGTCGCGTAGGGTCGTCAAAAAATTCAGTGACAAAAAAAGAAAGAGAAATAAAAAATAAACGTGAAAATAATAAAAATACATTCACAAAAAAGAATATAAGAGAAGAAATATTTACATTTGGGTCAAAATAACCACGTTGTTCTATATATTCTACGACAGTGGCACACCCCCTCAAAAAATATGGCGGCTGCGAAGAAAGTGGACATCAAGGAAAACGCGGACAACGCCCCAGGAACATCGGGCGAAGGCGATGCCGCCCCCAAAAAGAAATCTCCGCGATTCACCTTTGGTAAAAGATGGTATCGATTTCGCGTTCTAACCCCGAACTCTTCCATTCTTCGCGGTTCGTACGCGATGAACAGCCCGCACTTCAAGTACAGAAGTCGCGGCCGTCAAGCCGCCCCGGCGTCGGTGGTGGCCATCACTTACGGTCGGCTGTTCGAGCCGAAAGAGTGGACGAAGGAGTACGTGGACCAGGTATTGGAGTACGCCGACAAAGTGTACCGTACCAGCGCGATGAGGAATCACGTGAAGGACAACGAGTACATGAAGACCAACTTGATCCATCCAGAGTTCTACATCGCGAATTACAAGGTCCTGGTGTGCGCCGAGGAGACAGGGATCTATGGGAACCTCTTCAGCGAAACCGTAGGCTGTCCAGATTTTGCTGATGGATTGCAAAAGTTTTTCCAAAGCAACGACGCGGGCGTGATCACCGCTCAGGCCACGTCGATGGCCATGTGGCGTCACCCAGACGTTGGTTTCCTGTACTTTGATCCGGCACCATGCGACGAAGAAGGTGTTCGTCACCCAGAAGGCACGGCCTGCCTCATGAGGTTCAAATGCATGAACGATCTACGCGACCACTTTCTGAAGAGCATGGATAAACGCTACGACTCGAGGTACTGCATCGACAAGGTGACCGTTCTTCGTGTGAGCGAAGTAGGTCGAGGATACGTCGACCGTATCCCCAGCAGCGGTCGCCTGACAGTCGACAAGAGCGTTCTCCGCGCCATAAATCCGGTAGACATAGACGAAAATCAATTAGACTGCACGAAACCGGTGCCGAAGAAGGACAAAGCGAAGGCCGTCACCACCGCGAAAATCCACAAGGAGCCGTTGTCCATCACCATTTCCAACTTCAGTATCGACAAACGTTTCGCCACCGATCCGTTGGTGAACCAGGACGAGTTCGACACCGGTTACACGTACGAAAATATGCACGTGAACGTGCCGTCGACGTTCAGAGAACTGCCTGGGAACATGGCGATTCTTCACGGGTTGACTCACGAAGGGAGCGACGTGTACAAGGGCAAGGGCCTGCAGAACGTGGCGAACTGCGTGATGGCTATCGCCATGACGAGGGTTCATCCAGTGAAAACGTGGCTCCGACCAAAGTTGGACGAGATATTGACCTTGGGAGACAATCTGTACGCGGACGTGAAGGCGGAGAAGCCATCGATGAGGACCATGACCGCGTCCGATTTATACGACGTGAGGATTCAAGTGGAAAATAGAAAGTTCGTGATCGACGTGGACCTCATCACTGTCACCGGCACGGTCTCCTCGAAGATCCCAACGGTGCTGAACTTGAAGCAAGGCTTGGAGGAGTTCTTTCTAGTGAACACCGAGGGTGTGATCGAGTCCTCGTCGATGTCCGTGGCGATCTGGAAGAAGGACGATTGTTACTACATGTTCGATCCTCGTCAATGCGACACCGTGGGTGTTAGAATTCGCGAGGAGAAGGGCGGAAAGGGTACCAAAGGGAACGACGTGGAGTTGAAGGGGAACTGCTGCGTGATAAGGTTCCCAACGACCGAGGCGCTAGCTACTCTGTTCTGGAAGAACCTGGAACACTCGAAGAAGAACGACCGTTTCACCGTCAGACACATCACCATCTTGGACGACGTTCCTGGGACCAGGCCGTGGCACGACTTTCAGCCTGGAACGCCAGGCGAGACTTGGGTTCTGCAAGGAACCACGTCTAACGAGGACGAAGAGTTCGAAGATGAGAGTCGAGGCAATCAAGGACTCGCCATGCCGGTAGTGGCTCTTATCAGCGCCAAAGAGACGCCGCCGAGTAAGTGGACTAACGAGACGGTCGATACCGTGATACGCGAAGGAGACGCGTATTACAACTGGTGCAATCCCGTCACGGACGTCGAGGAAGAGGGTGGGACGTATTTCTTCGTTCCTAACTTGAAGAAGAACCTGTACTTCAAGAACAGGAAGGTGAGGATCGACGTGGAGGAGGGAACGATCGTCGGAAATTTAACCGCGCCACCCGGAAGCGACGTTCCACGCATGGAGGCCGCTCTGAAGCAATATTTCGAGGATCATCAGTACGGTATCGTCGACGTGAAGAACATGAGCGTGGCCGTGTGGAAGGTGATGGAGGACGTGAAGGTAAAGGACGAAGTGGTCCAGCAGCCCGTTTACTACTGCTTCGATCCCAATCCGCGGAACAATCTGGGTCTGTGGGAAGCGATGGACGAAGAAAACAGCGCGGCCTGCGTGATAAGGACCCTGGATCTATCCGTCTTAGCGAAGGTGATCGAGACGAACGCTGGACAAGACCAGGAGACCAGCGATGAGTTCTCTATCCACGACATGAAGAACATACAAATCGGCTCGGAGATGACGGACGAGGAGATCGAGGAGGACAAACTGATCCCCGTGAAGCCGGACCTGCACAATTACGTAAACATGGGCGACACAGGGGCCATCTTATTAGGCAGCTTCAATCAGGGTAACGAGGCAATGTTCAAACGTCACACCAGAGACAAGCAGCAGGCGGCCAGCGCGTTGGCCGCTCTGGCGATGACGAAACTGTACAATCCTCACCTCTGGTACAGAGAAGTGGTCGACGACGTGCTGAAGCTGGGCGACAAGATCGCCGCGGAGAACCTGGAGAATCTTCCAGAAGAGGAAGTAGAGGACGAGATTCCGAGGAATTACCTTCTTCCCAGCGAAATCGCCGAGGACTTCGCCGTGGGAGTGAATCGAATGTCAGTCGCGCTGGAGGAGGAGTCTAATACCGGCAGAATGACGGAATTAGAGACGCAGTTGGAGAACTTCTTCGAGACGAACTTGATGGGGATATTCAGACAGGACAGCGTGATGATGCCGATCTGGAGAGAAGCGGATGTTTACTTCACGATGGACCCTAGGGGAAGGGACACTCGAGGCGAGCCTCGGGAAAAAGATGGCACGGCTTGCGTGATGTGGTTCACCGATATTCCGTCGTTGGTCACCGCGATTCAAGCGGTAGCGACCGGAGACGAGTTCGTTATCGATACAGTCACCGTGGACAACGTCTACGAGACGCGAGTAGCCGAAGAGGAGCGTCCGGCGCAACTAGCCTCGGGAGAGAATCCCTGGTATCACTTCCCCAAGATAACGGAAGGCGTTTGGAGTATCGACGGCACGCTCAGGATGGACGACGAGAGGTTTCAGGAGGCGAATCGTAATCAACAAACCGCGGCCATTGCGGTAGTGGCCCTCGTCTTCGCGAAAGTCTACGAACCACGCTATTGGACGCCGACCGTGCTCGATGAAGTGATAGTCACGGGTGATAAGCTGCACACGAAATGCGTGGAGAGACTCGGGGAAGGTTCCGTACCGAAGATAAACGAGATCATGACGGAGTTCTTCCTCTCGACGCGTCGAATTAATCTAACGGTCAAGGACTGCGTCGAGGCGGGTAGCTTGACCGCGAGGCCGCCCAAGGTTCAAGGTCTGCAGGAAGGCATCGATAAATTCTTCGCTCGACACAGCTCAGGCGCGCTGACTTTAAGCGGTAACAAGAACATCCCTATTTGTAGGCTGGATAATTTTTACTACGTCCTGATTCCCGACTGGGTCACCGCTAAGGACGAGACTTCGACTGTCGCGCCCAAATTCCTGCGCTTGATCAACACAGAAATCTTGGTGGGATACCTTCTGGACTATCTCGGATCGGAAGGCGATTACGAATTGATCGCGATCGACGTGGTCAATTGGAATAAATTCCCTCCGTGGAAGTTCGATCCGAGCCCCGCTGTTCGTCCCTCGAACCTGCCGCCCTTGAATGCTTATAGAAGAGTCCAGGGCGAGGCTCGAGCGATCCTTCGCGGCAGCTACCACCAGGGAGACGAGATCTTTCCTGAATCCCTTCGGAACAAGCAGAACGCTGCCAACTGCGTGGTCGCTCTCGGTATGTCCGTAGTAAAGAACCCTATCACCTGGACGAAGAGGACCATGGACGAGATCCTGGCGATCGGGACGAACGTCCACAGGCTGACGCAGAAAGCTAAACCGACCATAGTGAGGATCAAGCCGAAGGACATTATCAGAGTGTTCTACGTGGGGGTGAATATCTTGACTGCTGATATAGAAGCTAGCACCGTTTCCGGGATAGTCGCTATCCCGCCACCTCAGCCGGAGGATAAGAAGAAGAAAAGAGCAAGAGGTAAACAGAGGAGAGCCAGAACCTCCAGAAGAGGTAAAAAGACGAGGGGACCGCAGAGGGTTCGACCACCGCCTCCTCCGCCGATTCTACTGGAGAAAGGCGTTCCCAAGTTCTTCGAGAATAATCGAGCAGGAGTGTTGGTCACTGATCGCGGTGCTGTGGCCATCTGGAAGGACATGGGCGTCTATTTCATGTACGATCCGCGGGCTTTGAGCGATCAGGGTCTGCCAGACTTCTATGGCACCTCGTGCGTGATGTGGTTCGCTTGCATAGAACCCCTGTACGAAACTCTCTTCGCCAACATCGACGAGCAAGAGAAATACGGACGTTATCAGATATGCAGGGTCATCATCAAGACCGCGATGATCGAGCCTCTGCCCTGTCCCGCAGGATTCAGGCCCTATTTCGACTGCACGTCTCCACCGATTCCTGTTGTTCGCATGAGGAGAAACACTACGTTGGACGTGGAGACGGTCACGGAGTACAACTTCGTGGACGAAGAGCTGAGCGTTTTGCGAGGCAGCCTGCACATGAACCATCGTATCTGGAGCACCACCAGCAGAGGCTACCAAAGTACTGCAATAGCCGCTGTAGCCATCGTCGTGGGTCTCCTTCACGTCCCTTCGACCTGGACGCCCGAATTGATCGATGCTATATTGAAATACGGTGATCTATTGCACTCCGACAGCGTCCGCGCCGCTCGTCCTGGATCCAGGAACCTCTCGCCCAGCGAACTCCTCACGGTCTTCATCGTAGGCGATTTTCGCGCTACTATACATATTCATAATCACACCACGGCAGGATTGCTCCACACGTTCGATTTGGCGGACTCCCTGGCGTTGTTCTTTCGATCCAATTGCGCGGGGATCCTTCACACGACCAACGTAGCTGTCGCCGTGATGCAGCATTACGGCAAGTTCTATTTGTTCGATCCCTGCGCGAGAAACGATCAGGGCAGGCCTAGCTTCGACGGTGCCGCGTGCGTGATGAAGTGCGAGAGCATCATGAAAATGGCCAAGGTCTTCGTGACAAATTGCAATCTTAAAACGCCGAACGTTTACACTCTGAACGCGGTGAACGTGCTGAGCCTCTTTTTCTTCTCTGACGCCAAGACTGGCTGCCCGCCAAAGTGCGAGCAGTAACACACGAAATTGTTCTCTATACTATTTTATTTATTAACGAAAGCGAGAATTGCCTCGTAGATTATTTACGATAGATCGTTACATCCGATATATATGTAACTTATTATCCTTGATATCTCACTATCACGTGTGCTTTGTATCCGAGTAAATTGTTGTACTGTACGATTGTTAAACTAAGGAAAACGAAGTACAGATGTAAATGAAAACGTAGGTATTTGATTATTGAATTTGGAGCTTTGATATTAGGTTTTGAAGGCAGTTTATTTTATTTAGGAATAGTATTAGAAGAGTGCACTATATTATTCGGTTTGAATTTCGCGGTAAAAAACGATCCCGAGTTCCCTCTATCGAGAAAACGATCAAGTTTCTCCTCGACCGTAATAATTGTTAATTATCGACGTACTGTCGGTAATTCGAAGCTAATGGCGCCGTCTAGCGTTAAAGGATCGAACTATTTTCTGAGTTCGGTCAGCGCCTCTATCGGGAAAACGCTCAAGTTTGTCCTCGAATAGTTCCTATATCTACTGCTAGAGATGGCGTTATTTTTATTTTAATTGCAGTCGCCACTTAGCGTCAAGGATGTAAACTAACTTTACTACAAGCTTGGGCGTTTTCCCACCGATAGCGCCAGTAGTATTAAACTAATTATCGGTATAGTAGAAATTTGATTCGTCGTTTGTTTTCCCTTTACTGTTGACAGGGACTTGGTTCGTATAACGGTATAACTCTTTTCCACGTGTTTGTGGTATTTATTTATCGTTACCATGTATCCTTATGATATTTGGTAAAGAAATGAATCAATCGAGAAAAAGAGCAAACAATTTGATGATTATTTTCAGCCCTGTTATTCAGAAAAGTGTTCGTTTTCATAATGGAGGGTTCGAAAGTGGAAAAGAGGGTCGCATTAGACGATTCCGATGCAAAACCACTTGAGCCTATTCTAGTGAGAGTTGACAAACACGGCACCGCTCCTAAAGATATTTACATTGATAAAAATGAGGTATGATTAAATATTAGTCCCGCGTTTTTTTCTAATCCTTGTTTCTTATCCCTCGTTTATTCGTTTGTAACATATACTTTCGAATGTTTCGATAGTTTAAAATTGGTCGTGCACGAGAAAACGACGAAATTATTCTAGACACAATGATATCTAGAAAGCAATGTATCTTTAGATGCGAAGGAAACGAAGAATGGACCATTAAAGATGTAAGTTCATCCGCTACATTTGTTAATGGTGTCCATCTAACTTCTGGGGTGAATCAGAGAATATTTAACGGCGACGTTGTACAATTCAGTACAAGCGATCAATTTAAGTATGTGTTCACTCTCGTTGCTAAGGAGGAACAGAAAACGAAAAGAGCAAGGTTGGATGAACAGATAATGGATAATGTTCTCACAGAACAAAAGACATTTTCGGAAAATCAAGAATGTCAGAAAAGAGTTTTAAAAAACCAGTTAGAAACAAAACAAAAAGAACAAGATGTATTGAAAAAGCAACTAGAGCAACTTTTAACAGAACAAAATGCCACCAAGGAGAGCACGGAAGATCTGAAAAAACAAATTACTTTATTAGAAGGTAAAATAGAGAATGGTAATATTCAAGAACAGCATTTACAAGAGATATATGCCGAATTGTTAGAAAAATTGGAAAATGAAAGAGTAAAATTTGAAAAACGATTAAATAATGAGAAGCAAAAGTGGCAGGAAGCATTGAATGTGAGTAAACATGAAAAAGAAATGTTGGAAATTAAAATGAAAGAGCAAATGGAAAAATGGAGGGAAGAACAACAGGCTGAGTGGAAGAGTGTTATGGAAAATAGAGTGAAAACAGAGAAGACTATACAAGCTCAATTATTAAATGAGAAAACAGTATTAGAGGAAAAATTAAAAGAAACTGAAAAAGCTTTAAAAGAACAGGAAGCTAAAGTTGAAACGATACAGAGTAATGGTATGATCATTCATATATTTTCGCTCTAGGAATTAATTGTTTGGGTGAGATGTAACAAACTAATTAATATTTCATTTGCAGCGGCGAGTTCTTCCGACAATCCTACCAATAATTGTATATTTCTTGAATTTGTAAATGATCCTACAGGATTTCAAATTTTAGACACAATAGATTTAACATTGTCCAGTCAGCTTAACATAGATAACAAGGAAAAAGAAAGTGTAATTAATAAAGTTAACAATATAATGGATGAACAGTTAACCTGTAGCATATGTTCAGAATTATTTGTGAAAGCAACAACTTTAAATTGTATGCACACATTCTGCGAACACTGTATAAATAAATGGACCAAAAAAACAAAGGTATGCCCAATGTGTAGGGCACCAATAGGATCAAAGATTAGATCCATAGTTCTTGATAATTTTATTGAAAGTATGCTAGAGAATTTACCCACTGACATGAAAGAGAAAAGGGAAGAAATCAAAAAAGAAAGGAAAGGTAAGCAAGCGAAAAATTAATGTCTGTTATTTTTAAATATGCACCATCTACAAAGTTTTAAAAATGTTTTAGCAACAAAACACAGAAAGAAATTATGCTAAAGTTTCGCTATGTGAAGAGACGTAATTTGGTTTAATAATAATATTCGTAAGAAAATTTTATATCGATATATTCTATTCTACTAAGTTTTATCAACAAATAATACCAAAATTATATTAAAAATAATACATTGTTAATATTAGAAAGATAAGGTGTAAAACTTAAGACGCGTAAATAAATGTATCTTTAATTTTGTACCATAAACTTTTCTAAAAAGCGATTTTTATTGCTCTCTGCTTATTAATTTCAATATATTCCATGTAGAAGAAGAATTTAAATCAAAATTGATTACGGTACGTAGTACTAGTAACAATGAGATCGCCCTCTGTAGACGCAAAGTTGAATCGTTGTATAGTGATTTTAAATATACAAGTAAATAACGACATCTAGCGTTTCAGTCGCGCGACGACTAGAAACTTTCGAACGAGGGGAAGGGAGTTCGTTTGGTGTGTTATATTCCCCTCAAACAAAACGAATTAATGAACCTCTCTATATGTGTATGTGTGCAATGGCAATAGCGTGAGATTCCATGAAAATCTGCCTAGCATCGCTCGTCAACGTGCGCACATATGAAAATACGACTTTCAAGAGAGTTGCAAGCAGTCGCGAGTTGTGATATACCGAGCTATACTCTGAACGTCGGGTAAATGGCGAAATATATACGACGACACTAGGACAAAGTGAGATCTTTTCGTCCAAAGGAGTGCTTCGTCGGTTCGTTGGTCCGATTGAATTCTTGTGTCGCTGACGGACCAAGCACGACGACACAGTTACGTTGTTTTTCGCAGTGGAAAACGACACGTCTTTGGAAGGATGGCGACCTGACCCCTTCCGAATAATGGAATACTGTGCACAACGGTACGTTTCTCTGTCTAACCAGATCGTATCTACCAAACTATACGTAATTATTTTTTATGCGTATCGAATGCACGATATGCACCTGTACGGCAACAATTACTCCAATGAATTCTCTGAAGGTTACACGGTGTTATTACAATAGTGTCACGCTTACAACCGTCGTCATGACAAATTTTTTTTTCACCTTTCTTTGTACCTCAACGACAATTCACGATTTTACGATATCGAAGTTGTGACCACGTGCCTTTTAGCTATTGTAATCATAGACATTTCTCGATTCATGATATCGCGATCGAAATTGCGCCTTATCGCGATTATTTACATGCTAGACTTTTTCTAGACATTGTGTTTCCTTAGACATAAAGAAGCCTGGGAGGGAGAATACTACTGTCAATGTAATTCTTAATATAGACGTATCATTGGAATTTTGTACCTTTATTTTTTGTTATCTTTGTATTCTTTATTGGTTTTCTCGTGAATCGAATACAATTTGATTTTAACATTTTTTCAACAATGTTCTTTTTAATGTTGGACTTTTAACTTTATTATCTTTGCTTTGTTTTCAGATTGTCAGTTTGAAATACATTCAATTGGTGCTATTAAGCTTACAAGGCAAGTCTTATTAACAAAGAGAGAAATTACTAAAATAATAAAAGTATATATTATGTTTCATTTTGTCTTTGTTTGATTGTACAAGTATTAAACTTCTTTTTTTATCTTATTTCCATGGTAATGTTAAGCTCTATTTATACGATTAACTTGAGACAAGTAATTTTCTTTTGTAATTAACATTCAGATGGCAGACGTTGATCCTGAAACTTTATTGGAATGGCTTAGTATAGGCCAAGGAGATGAAAGGGACATGCAGTTAATTGCTCTAGAGCAATTGTGCATGTTACTACTTATGTCTGACAATGTTGATCGATGCTTCGAATGGTATACAATAAATGTCTAAAATAATTATTTTATTATGGTTACATTCTCATACTAATACAATCTGTTATCTGCATTTTAGCTGTCCTCCACGCACATTTCTTCCTGCATTATGTAGAATTTTTTTGGATGATTTTGCACCGGATAACGTCTTAGAAGTGACCGCTCGAGCCATTACATATTATTTGGATGTTTCTGCAGAATGTACTCGCAGAGTTGTAGCTATGGAAGGTGCTGTAAAAGCTATTTGCAGTCGCCTATCTGGAGCTGGATTAGGTTCCAGAACTAGTCGAGATTTAGCAGAGCAATGCATAAAGGTATTATGTTATTTGATTGTTGTTAACTGTCGCGTTAGTCGATACTAATACGTGTTATTATCGTAGGTGTTAGAACTTGTTTGCGCGAGAGAAGCTGGTGCTGTATTCGAAGCTGGTGGCCTTCCATGTGCCTTGTGCTTTATTCGAGAGCATGGAGCTCGTGTTCATCGGGACACGTTGCATTCAGCAATGGCTGTAGTTACCCGTTTATGTGGAAAAGTGGAACCTCAAGATAAATCTTTGCCAGATTGTGTTGAAGCTTTATCAACGTTACTCAGACACGAGGATGCACATGTTGCCGATGGCGCGCTTCGTTGTTTTGCATCATTAGCTGATAGATATTCACGGAGAAATACCGATCCTGCTCCGTTAGCATGCAATGGATTGGTTTCTGAACTCTTACACAGGCTATCAAATGCAGCAGGGCCTGGTACATCGATAGCAGCTACT